TGTTACAGTTTCTAACTCACACAAGCCCAAGTAAAATGTCTTCGTGAGAGAAGCTGAGCCCTATTCAGTTCTGTGCATACTGCCTCAACTTCTGCTACTTCGAGCGGTTTATCTAGCTCACTCTAACAGACTTAGTCAAATTTAACACAGTACAGCTCAAAAGTAAGCTGCAATCGACCTCAGGACATGATATTCTGCAAAGAGAGCAAAGGTCGAATATTTTTTTCACTTGTACTTGCTTAACTTGCACTTGATATGGCTGTGATCATGCCTGATTTAGCCGGCCTCAATTATGCCATGGATGGTACTTCGGCAGAAAAATCGCGTACTATGCGTCCGCACCACTGGACATTGGTTGCTGGGCGCGTCGGTTCCCGCGGACGCCGTAGCATGGATTGTAGTATCGTGAGTGGACATTTTACATGAAGGGTCTTGTGTATTTGGATTACAGGCGGGCCCCAACAGCCGCTCGGATTATTTGTTCAAGGATGTTTCCTGTAGCACTTTGGCTCAAGAACGTAACTATAAAGCAGCGGTGACAAGCAAACCTATTTAACGGCGGTTCACGGCGTTCGCCATGTCACAGTGCCATCATTTTCGACTTGCGACATTTTATAGGCAGTCGCGGTGCGCCAGACCTCAGACCTCAGCGGCCAGGCAGTACCACCGCTTTCAGTCCGCGATTGCTTATTCGCAAAACCCAGGCACCTGCTTATTTCGCAGCTAACCTACGCTGAAGCCGTCCCAGTATCCGCCACCTGTGTCACGTCAGGTAGCCAGCAGTTAGAATAACTACGTCAGGCAATAGTTGTCTTGCCAGTTTAGATAGGGACAATGGATATTGGACGATGGACGCTTCATCGCTACGATGATCCGTGTGTATTCAGAACTGTGCGAGCTGTCTTTACGCTGCCTCGAACAGTTTTGTCTGATAATTCTCCTAGCTCAGCTCTGTTTTTATCAAAACAGATTTATGTAGAAGAGTAGTTTGCGAGCATACCGTAGGCTTTCGATAAATTCTCATCGGGTCATCACATTTCCCATGGAAACGGGGTGAAAGTTAATCAAGCGGTCAATAATATTCACCTGCTGGCAACAGCAAAAACGGCCTATATAAGGCTGATAAATCCGGTATTGTATGCGGAAAAGAACCTCCCACGGGCTCCATGTCTAGCATTGCTAATAATTACTTAGCTGCATGTAATCGTCTGCGCTCTCCTTGTATCCCTCCCCTCTTTCCTCTTCCTAGACTGGCTCCACCAAACCCTGCCAGTGTAACCACCATTTTCTTATCGACCCCTTGCCCTCCAATTCCCACGACTCATTTGCAAGAAAAGACGAACATTATTGATCGCTTGTTTACCTTGCACCCCGTTTCCATACAAATGTAATGGCTCAAAGCAAATTTATCGAAAGCCTACGTATATTCGCCAACCACTCTTCTACATTCTCTGATGGGAATTTTTGCAACTTTAAAGCAGATTTAGTCAATCTTCACATAGTATAGCTGCAGTCGGTCTGGGGACGTGATCTTCTGAAATGAAAGCGACAACCGACCACTGCCTCCATGGGGATTGTTGGTATTGTTTACGGCTCCTTTTTTAGCACAATGTTGAACTCTGCCTTTAGAAAGCTTGCTCTTCTTATCTACACCCTTTCAAAAACAGAGTCCTAAATTGGGAAGCTTCTTTACCGCGGTTGCCTCTAAATGGCGGAGCATCCTAGAACGCAGTGGCGGTTGCTGTAAACTTCAATGCTTCTGTCTGCTGCCTGTATCACCCCCCTCGGTCTTCCCTATTTTTAGTGGCCATGTGGCTGAACGAATGGACCTCCGCGTGTTTCTGACGATTGGTTGCCTACTCTCCGGCCTCACTACCGCCCTCTTCGGCCTGGGCTACTTTTGCGACATTCACCATCTGCCCTTCTACCTTGTTGCCCAGGTACGTGTTGCCTCTGCCCCCCACAGTTCTTCATAAATTGCTCACCCACTTTGTAGTGTCCAGTTAGTCAAAATGCAATCAGGCTGCTAGCCAGACCGCCCTGGTCTCGCTCAGGCATCAGCTTACGTACTAAGCTGTCAGTATACAGAGCATGCATCGAACCGATATTACTATATTCCTGCGACCCTGGCCAGTCAGAAAGGCAGACATTCTATCGCTCGAAGTCTTCAACGCCTTCGACGCCTCTTAAAAGTCTTCTGGCAGGATCAAATTTCTATTGTTGAGCTATATCACAGGTGTTTCAAACTACCACGTCTAGTATCATACACATAGCATCGCCGATTGCAATGGTTTGGCCATGTCCTGCGCAAGCAATCGCCTGACCTCTGTAGATTGATCGTGAACCCCTCTCGTTGTGGAAACTGGAGATACCGACATGGCTCAACACCGTCAAGTCGGACGTCGAACGAATGGCCCGTGTAACTGTTTAAGGCTTGCGACATTGGAACAAGTACTGGGTTGACATCTGCGAGGAGCTCGCTTCCGATCGCCGCCAATAGGCTGCCGCTCTCCGTAAAGTCGATTCATCTAACAACAGGAGCTGATCGGATCAAGTACAAGTCCAGTTGATCGACCCAGTTGCCTACTGAGCCAAACACCTAAATTCAGACGGCCATTTTGTCTGTGCCAAGTCAATCTCCTGCAAGCTGGTCAGTACGTGGTTAGTTACGAGCTGCGGGTCTGGAAATCGCATGAACCGCCATGATCAAAATAGGCTGACCCCACTTAAGGATGTTTTTTTTTTTAGTAAAATAAAGGAATCTTCGCATTCTATGTACCATCATAGTTGCCGGCTTAAGGTTGTTCACACCAGACTACTCTGGAACTTGGTCTGAGCTATCATAGTTTGTATAAGCACTCATCAAATCATTTGCATGTGATGCGTACGCTAGATGTAAGCTTACAGCCATGTCGACCACTGCCCCCTTTCCATCCCCAATTATATATGGGAGGAGTGGGGTATGCCGAGTTCCTCCGACGTAAATGACCAAACTGTC